TTTTGAGACACAGTTTCTCTGTAGCTTTGGAGCCTGTCCTGAAACTAGCTCTTGTAGGCCAGGCTGGCCTTGAACTCACAGAGATCCGCCTGCCTCTGCCTTCTGAGTCCTGGAATTAAAGGCGTGAGCCACCACCACCTGGCTTTGGTTATAATTTTTGACAGGAGGTCTCTGTCTGTAGTCCAGGCTTCCTGGAGTTAGCTCAAGCTAACTTTGGACATGGCTGGCTTTTAAACATGTGGCGCTCCTTCCGCCCTTGTCTCCCATTGCTGAGGCTGCATATGTGACTGTATAATCTTTTGGTTGAGACCTGTCTCAGATTAATTTTGCCTCTGCCTGACACCTTATTTGCAGTCTTTCTGGTCAAGCTAGCTCGGCGCTCTCTGAGCCTTCAGTTTCCCAAATGCTCTTTGCCCTCTGGTGTTAGTGTTCATCCCTCCGTGCCCTTCATCCTTTTTATCACCATGTTATTGGGATTTCAAGAAAACATAGAGAAAAATGCATTTAAAAAATATTGTTAGCCAGGATTGGTGGCGCACGCCTTTAATCCAGCACTAGGGAGGCAGAGGCAGGCGGATCTCTGTGCATTTAGAGGCCAGCCTGGTCTACAAACCGAGTTCCAGGACAGCCAGGATTGTTATACAGAAAAACCCTAACTTGAAAAACAAAGCAAAACAATATATTTATTTATTTTACATTATATGTATATTTATTATATATTGTTTCTTTTTTCACCCTCTCATCGTATGCACTATCAGTCTTAGGTGTTTGTCCTGGTGGTTGTCTAGGCTTTTAATGTTTTCTCTTATTTACTGACGATGTGTGCAGGGTACATTGACAAACAGTTAAAACTGCACAGAGCTGAAAAGGTGCCTGTATTTCTGCTTTCATATGCAAAGACTAGACTTCAAGAGTTTAGGTTTTTTTGTCTTTGAGTTAGTTTTTTGCCTTTCTTCTTCCATCCCTCCCTTTCTCTCTCCCTTTTTTCTTTCCTTCCTTTTCTCTCTCTCCTTTTCCTTCCTTCCTTCCTTCCTTCCTTCCTTCCTTCCTTCCTTCCTTCCTTCCTTCCTTCCTTTCTTTTTCCCAAGACAGCCCTGGCTCATTCTAGAACTCTCTCTGTAGACCAGGCTGGCCTCAGATTCAGAGATCTGCCTGCCCCTGCCTCCCAAGTGCTGGGATTAATGGCATGTGCCACCACCTTCTGAGTGTTAGCCCTATGTTTAAGGAAGAGTCTCATCTGTAGCCAGGTTGGCCTGGAATTCACTATCTAACCCATGTTGGTCCTAACTGTCAGTGTCCCGAACTCTGGGTTATGTGACCTACCATGTGTGACTTAAATAGGTTTTTTGTAATAGCACATTTCTGCAGTTTTGTTAGTAAAAATGGGAGAATTCACAGTTTGTTAAGGATGTTAATGATAAGGTAAATTATTGGATACTTACTACATTCTAGACACTAACAGTTTTACTCTTGTTAATTCTTTTTTTTTAAAGATTTATTTATTTATTATGTATACAACATTCTGCCTCTGTGTTTGCTCCCACACCAGAGGAGGGCGCCAGATCTCATTACAGATGGTTGTGAGCCACCATGTGGTTGCTGGGAATTGAACTCAGGACCTCTGGAAGAGGAACCAGTGCTCTTAACCACTGAGCCATCTCTCTAGCCCTCTTGTTAATTCTTGTAGTAACTTTTTGTTGTTGTCTTTTAGAAGCAGCCTCTGGTGTTTCTGCACAGAGAAGGACACAGGATGAAAGACTTTCGAGTTAAATTTCATCTTTCTCTATAGAAATAGACTAAAAATTTTTTGGAAGACCTAGGATACAGAGTATTTTCCTCTGGGTGCAGACATTGCATGTGGGGCTCAGCTGAAGAAAAGGTGAACTGTAATTTCTCCATGTTCATCATTTACTTGTGCCAGTAAGAGCAACTGTAAGAAAGAACCATTAACATAAAGGCGGTGCTGTACTTCTGTCCCTTGTCACCCCATCTCAGGCCACTTGCGCAAACAGTCTCTCGTTATATATCCAGCTTCCATCCTATCTCCGTAGACGCTAGGAGAAAACCCTTGTGTGTGACAGAATGTTGGAAAGTCTTCATCCCGAATCAGAGCTTCTGCGTGATGGACTCAATCCTGGAGAGAAACTTTATGAATGTAACGAATGTAGAAAAACCTTTAGCCTAAAAGAAAGCTTTGTAGAGCATAAGAAAATGCACAGTGGTGAGAACTCGCATGAATGTACAGAATGTGGCAAAGCGTTTTCTCGGGTCTCGTCACTTACTCTACATATGAGAAGTCACACACGGAGGAAATCATATAAACGTGGAAAAGCCTTCAGCCAGAGAGGAAACCTCCTTTCTCCTCAGAAGCAACATGCTGAAGAGAAGACCTCCGTTCAGATGACAGCCTCCGTCAGAAATCAGAGAAGCACGGGGAACAAACCATTTGCGTGTAAGGAATGTGGGAAAGCTTTTAATGGCAAAGCATATCTCAAAGAACACGAGAAAATTCATACAGGAGAGAAGCCATTTGAATGCAGTCAGTGTGGAAGAGCCTTCAGCCAGAAGCAGTACCTCCTGAAACATCAGAACGTCCACAGCGGAAAGAAACCTTTTAAATGTAATGAGTGTGGTAAGGCTTTTAGCCAGAAAGAGAACCTCATTATCCACCAGAGAATCCACACCGGAGAGAAACCCTACGAATGCAAAGGGTGTGGGAATGCCTTCATTCAGAAGTCAAGCCTCATCAGACACCAGAGAAGTCACACTGGAGAGAAACCGTACACTTGTAAGGAGTGTGGGAAAGCCTTCAGTGGCAAATCCAACCTCACTGAGCATGAGAAAATCCATATCGGAGAGAAGCCCTACAAATGCAACGAATGCGGCACGATTTTCCGGCAGAAGCAGTATCTCATCAAACATCATAACATCCATACGGGCGAGAAACCCTACGAATGTAATAAGTGCGGAAAAGCCTTTTCTCGTATTACGTCACTCATAGTGCACGTGAGAATTCATACAGGTGATAAACCCTATGAATGTAAAATCTGTGGGAAGGCCTTCTGCCAGAGCTCCTCCCTCACGGTGCATATGAGGAGCCATACGGGTGAGAAGCCCTACGGCTGTAACGAGTGTGGGAAGGCCTTTTCTCAGTTCTCAACTCTTGCTTTACACATGAGAATCCACACTGGTGAAAAGCCGTACCAGTGTAGTGAGTGTGGGAAGGCTTTCAGCCAGAAGTCACACCACATCAGACACCAGAGAATTCATATTCACTAAAGCTCTATAAATGCCTTAGATTAGGACCCTTGAGCAGAATGTATGGCTGGTAATATATCAAAAGATTTATCGTACATTAAAGTTACACAAATGTAGGCAATCCTTCTATAGTGACTCAAAACTTAAATGTAAAGATATTTAATAAGATGTATCACAGTATTATATACTTCACAGGCTCACAATAAAAGTTATTAGTATATTTTTTTTGTTTTGTTTTGTTTTCTCTGTAGCTTTGGAGCCTGTCCTGGAACTCACTTTGTAGACCAGGCTGGCCTCGAATTCACAGAGATCCATCTGTCTCTGCTTCCCAGGCGCTGGGATTCAAGTTGTGCACCACCACCACCCAGCTCAGTGCTATAATATATACCCTTCTCATTGAACTTAGAGTCCAGTGATTCCAAGTACTAAAGTCGCAGAAAGTTTATCAAATGTATTAAGATAATTTGAGCAATACAAGTTTTGAAATTAAGAGGTAAAAATATTTTTTGACATATGCTTTTCTATATGGGTGATTTGTAAAAACCACTTTTCAACGACGGCATTTTGGGACAGGGTCCCCCTGTGTAGATAGCCCAGGGCGACCTCAAACTCACTACATAGCCCAAGTTGGCCTCGAGTTTCTGGTGATTTGGTTGCTCAGACTCCCAGTGCTGCAATTACAGATATCCATCACCATGCCAACTCTCAAGTCTTTGTTGATAGAAGTGTTTAAAGTTGAGGCCACAGAATATTGAATCTAGAAATATGAATGAATTCATGGAGGATTGGTATTTGATTCTGGCAGTATCCCAGATCAGTACAAAAATCATAGATGACTTAAAAAATAATCTCAGGATAATCAGCTTTTGTGTGGGAAAATAATAGATCTCTGAAGTCTTCATTTATTAAAGTATTTCTTCGGATCCAGTGTCTTTGCAGAAAGGAAAGCCTTGTTTAAGAACTTTCTAAGTGGATGGTTTCTGATACTTGAGTAGGAAAGAAATTCTAGAATCTTCAGGTGTTGTTCTTGAGCATTTATACTTATTCTCAAGACACTGATGCTCACGTGGGGAGCTGTGTACCAGTCTGCTCATCCAGAAACTGATGCTCATGTGGGGAGCTGTGCACCAGTCAGTCTGTTTATTGCAGCATGAGTTACGGTAGCAAAAATCAGGCACAGGTATTTGTTGCTTATGAAGTAGATGAATAAAATGTAACGGTCATACAGTAGAATATTCCAGCAGGTAGGCACAACTGGTTAAATTTATGTATTAACAGCAAAAGAAAAAAATCAGCATGAAGAAAATTGAATTGATAGATATATTGTCATGATTCCTGTGTAAATTTGAATAAAACCAACTTGTCAACACTGTTACTAAGCATTGCTTATGGGAAACACTTTTCTCTAAAACTACAATTGGGAGGATATGTATTCAGTTCCCAAAAAGTGGCATTGCTGTTATAGTACGAATGGAGTTCTGTAGAAGTGGAAGGTGACAAAGCAGGGTGATTATATGCTACTCCAGGTTTATATCTAAATATCTACTTTTTATTAAAAATAAAGGTTCCGAATAAATGTAACAAATTGATAGTTCTACGTTGTGGCAACATATATTCTGTGCTATTTATCTTAAAAAGATAGCTATGAATGAGATACATATTACAAGAGTCCCCATGGTATGTGTGGGATACATCCCACGTACCTGGTGGACACCTGAAGTATAGTATTAACTGTTAGCTTTTCCTATGTACATATGTGCTGGTGGTGAAGTTTATTAGTACCACAGGAGTCTAACAGCAACTTTTACACAGCATTGTAACCGCAGCTTCTGACTTTCCCCCCTTATTGAGAACATTCTTGTCTTCACGGAAGCACAACTTCACCTGCGCATCAATTCTTGGGCTTTGGAGCCATTGTTGAGTGAAGAAAGTGTTCTGTGTAGTTTCTTTCCACTGATTGGACCCAGACAAATAAAATTTGGAGAAGTCCTGCCCTGATCTGGTTGTTTTCTTGTGCTATGGGTTGGTCCTTTTGTTGGGGCCTGGAATTTTTGGTGCTCTAGACCATGCCAAGAGATTGGTGGTTCTGTCCTTAGGTGTGGTGAGTTGGAAGTGGCGTCATAGTTACCATGACTGACTGGAGCAGGAAAATCCAAAAGCCTATAGAATGTCATCAACTTTCATTCTCCCGGTTGTCTGACTATATTAAAACTAGAATTTGACCTCTATATGCCCCCTCCCATTTCTTATCTCTTATCTTAAACACACAAGGCTAAGTTTCAATTCACAGCAGTTCCGCCTCAGTCTCGGATTACAAGGGTCAGCCATTATGCTAGACCTCACACTTGGTCATATGTCTTAGGTGTAAGGTAACTCAAGAGAAGGGCTAACATACCTCAGCTTTGTCTGAACCCTCGTGTTTCATGTAGCATGACACGCTCTAAACTGGCCACATGCTTTATTCCATTCCCTGAATAGTAACTTCCATGAGTGATTTTCCTTAGGATTGGAAAAAAAAAATGCAAAGAAACTACAGCCTGATCTAGAAGAACAAATGAGAAATGCCTTTACCCAGTTTCTAAAACAGTTTCTAAAAGTTAGGTTGAATACCTAGCTTTTGAAAGCACAAATCTTAGGAAGGTTGTTTATGGCCACTCTAGAGAAGGTGGAGATTGGGACTGCTCTGAAAACGAGCAATAAATGGGCTCTTCCTGCCCAATTCAAACTACCAGCCCAGTTCTTACACTCAAATATTCTCTCTCTCTCTCTCTCTCTCTCTCTCTCTCTCTCTCTCTCTCTCTCTCTTAGGGCAAGATGGTTGTTCTGAGGCAGCCTTGACTGACCTTGAGCTCACAGATCCTTCTGCTTGGAATTAAGGACTTATACCACTGTGTTTGGCCCACATTTTCTTCTAGGAAAAGGTGTGGGGGATGGGGTCTTTTATAATCTAGGTTGTTCTTGAACCTGCTACAGCCAGGAATAGCCTTGAACATTGGATCCTCTGTCTGCTCCTCCCAAGTTCTGGGATTTCAGACATGCCCTAGCATGCCCAGATGCTAGGTAAGTACCATACAGAGTGACCAGCATTCCAGCTGTCAAACCCATGTTCACGTTCGTTCAGGCCCCTTAGGTGTACTCACATGAAGAAACCCATGTGAGTCTAACTCACCTTGCCTAGAAGGGCCATATTTGGGAGAATGTTCTGCTTTGCAGTGTAACTAAAGACAGGCATGGTATCACACATAAGGGGTGAGCTTGCAGCCTCAAAATCTTTTCAGCCAGTAATGAGGGCAGAACTGTTGCAAGAATGGCTGCTTGTTTGTCCTGGCCGTCCAGAACTGAAATAACCACATAGAAACTGTATTAATTAAAACACTGCTTGGCCCATTGGCTCTAGCTTTTTATAGGCTAACTCTTATATTAATTCAACCCATTTCTATTAATCTGTATATCACCACATGGCAATGGCTTACCGGGTAAAATTCCTAGCATCTGTCTCAGGTGGATGCATGGCATCGCTCTGACTCCGCCCTTCTTCCTCCCAGCATTCATTTCCATCTTCCCCGCCAACCTAAGTTCTGCCCTACCAACAGGCCAAGACAGTTTCTTTATTCATTAACCAAGAAGAGCAACACACAGACAGAAGGACCTCCCACACCACAGAGCTCTCCTGGGATGTCTGGGTGTCGTCCCTCACCCCAGCAGACAGGCTCAGTATGTAATCCTGGCTGACCTGGAACTTCCTTTGTCCAGGCTGGCCTCAGACTCATAGAGATCTACCTATCTCTGCCTCCTGAGTGCGGGGATATAAGGCATATATCACCATGCCTGGCTATGGTCCAATTCTTAACGCTTGCTTTTGAAAACTAAAATTACAACATTATTTGAAAGGGGATACATTCAAATCACAGCAAAGTGCAACTGATTTTGTAGCCTGCAAATTTCGCAATTTATTCATTTTTTAAAAGATTTATTTATTATGTATACAACATTCTGCCTCCATGTGTGCCCACACACCAGAAGAGGGCACCAGATCTCATTACAGATCGTTGTGAGCCACCATGTGGTTGCTGGGAATTGAACTCAGGACCTCTGGAAGAGTAGCCAGTGCTCTTAACCACTGAGCCATCTCTCCAGCCCCCAATTTATTCATTGTTTACATGGATTTTTAAAAATATTTTTAAGGTTTATTTATTTTACATGTATGAGTGTTTTGCCTGCATATATGTTTGTGCGGGTCAAAACTCAGAAGAGACTTCAGATTTCCAGATTCTGAAACTGGTGTTATAGACAGTTTCAAGCTCCAATGTGTGTTAGGAGTCAAATCCATGTCTTCAGCAAGAGCAACAAGTGCTCTTAAGTAACCACTGAGCCATCTCTCCAGCCCCACAATGGTTCTTTTGTTCATTTTCAGATAGACTCAGTAACCAGGGTAGCCTACAATCCACAGTTCTCAAGCCCTAGCCTCTCTAGATGTTGAGCCATGTACCGCCACACTGAGCTAGATAGAATACTGTTCCTTAATACTTGATAACTATGTGCTTGAGGGTGAAAATACTAGACACCAAAGTCTGCAGTGGAGTAATTTTATGTATTACTATGATGGTCAAATAAAAGCCTTCAGTTTTCCTATACCTCCTGGATGTGTATTGGTTAGACACCTCTGTAGAGCCAGAGGCTCTGGCAAATCTCAAAGCCTTTGTTACTCAGTTGGTCCCTGAAAGTCATAGAAAGATACAAAAGGTGGGTGGGTTTGCAGGAAAGAACAGGTCACAACTATCAGAAATAGCCCAGAAAATGTTTGATGTCAGAGATCTTTACAAAAGGACCAATGTCAGGGTCCAGCCCCGACATAAATCATTCCTCGTGCCAGAGTGGAGGTGTGGGAATGAAAACTCACATGACTTTATCAGGAGGGAGTTTTCAGGGACCCTTCATGAAATCCTGAGTTCACATCCTGAAAATTTTTTGTTTATCCTCCAAACAGCTTTTATACCAAAACATAAACTGAGGGGGAAGTTCGTCAGCATTCTGTTTCCTAGGTAGCAGGGAGAATGACTTAGGTCACATCTACAACTGTGCCTGCATTGTCACATAGACTGAAAAACACCCCTTCCTCAGGCTGTCTCCTAAATTACAATAGAAGGGCGGAATGACATGAGCATTTCCTGACAATTTGCTTAGGATGGCGTCAGGCTCTCTCACTATGTAAAGCTAGGTGACCACCTTCTGTGTGGCAGGTACAAATTGTGCCTTGCCAGGTTGCTCAGAATCCTGGCTGCCATACAGTGTAGAAATATGGGCCTGTATAATCCAGCCCCTACAGACCAGTGCAACTACTGAAAAGAAATGGGTCATTGGGAAAATGAATGCCCACGACAGAAACAGGTAGATAACCTCCTCCCACACCCAAGCCACTCCTAGCAAGGTTGTCTGGTTTAGAGGAACAAATTATTCAGTAGCCACACCTTTGGTCAAACAGCCTGCTGTTTGTTCATCCTTGAGCAAGAATAGGTTTGACTTCTCTAACCTTTAGTCAAGATGCAAGGGATCCAAAAGTGGGCCCTCGCATAGTGCAGCTAAGACCTGGAGTTATGTCCATTTGGGTCTAGCAATACCCCATGGCTTGGAAGCAGGGAAGGGGTTTGGTTTTACATCAGGCACCTCCTTGAAGTAGGCATACTTACTCCTCATCAGTCAGTCTGTAATACCCCCTGCTTGCCTGTCTGAAAGTCTGGATGGAATTCAAGACTATAGATTAGTACTCAAAAGATGCATCCTTTTCCATCCCGCTGTTAAAATTGAGTCAGCCCATCTTATTTGAATGGGCTGAGCCTGAACTGAAGCTATTGGGACAGCTAACCTGGACCAGACTGCCAGGTTTCAAAACCTCTCCCACCATCTTCAATGAAGCCCTAAGTCAGGGTTTATCTCTTTTTCAGTAACTACCCAAAGGTAGCCTGGCTTCAATATGTGAAAAATTTGTGATTGTCAGCTAAAAATGAGGCCTTTTGGGAACTTTAGTCCAGTTAGGCTGGACTTCGAGAAGAGAAATTCAGATTTGCTTGTTGTAGCTTATCCACTTGGGATATGAGCTGACTAAGGGAGAAGACTGCATAGTGGTTCTAATGCAAATCCCAGCTCCAACTGTCGGGACAACCCCAACATAAATTATCTCTCTGGATCGGTGTGGAGACACAGTAATATCGGAAGGGAGTCTCAGGGTTCATCCAAATCCTGAAGATCACCGTGTTTGTTCTCAAAACAGTTTTTATATCCAAAGGTAAACTGAGGGGGGAAGTTTATTAGCATTCGGTTTCCGGGGTAGCAGGACTAAAGTCCTACCTGCAACTATGGCTCCTCTGTCTCTAGCTTGGATTAACACATTTTCCCAGGCGGTCTCCATAGTTACAAAGAAGGGAGCAGAACAGCATTAGCCCGTCCTGACCCTGGAGACAGCCTGTCTGCAGGTGCTAGGTGACCACTCAGGTGTGAACTGCAGCGTGAGAGCCTGGCCGCCATGTACAAATACGTGGCCTGTAGAATTTTGCCCCACAATTCACTCTCTCTTAATATTTTTAAAATAAAAAGCCATGCTGCTACCGGACAGATGATCACATCTGCCTTGGGCAAGGACTTCTCCCTTTACCCAAAATTACCCATCCCTGGAAGTCAGGCATATTTTATTTTATGCAATCTCCTGTCTTAGGTTTTTAGATGGGGAGAAACTTCAAAACCATCATTGACTACTGATCTCTGTGAAGGAAAGAGATTAGGGGAGAGAGATACCTTTGGGCTCTGTGTCTTGGAGCCAACTTTCTTGTCAGGATAAATTATAATGCTTTATGAATAATCATGCTCCTAAAGGCTACAGTCTCCTAGTTAAAGGAGAGGAGGGTCGCCTGAGTTGAAACGTTTTTTTTCAGCTAATTTAGAGCACCTCTTACATTTTTAACATATGCATTAAATCCCAACATTTTCAGGGTATGTCAAACTTT